CTGACAGCGCCGGCAGTCGCAGCAGCAGTAATGGGAACCACAGGTGCGACGACTCGTCTATCGACAGCCTGGAACGGGCGCTGATGGACGACACCTCCCGGGTATCTCCCGGCGTCAGTCTGGAGGGTCGACCCGTGAACGCCTTGGCCAACAAGATGTCGTTGTCTAACCTCTCGCACGACTCCGGCCTAACCCTCAGTGACACCCAATTGTATACACCGGACGAGGATGAAGGCGCCGACGACTTGGATCAGTTCCCGGGCACCGGTGGACAGACCTATGGGCGCAAGACATCGTCACCGTTGGCATACCCGCCATATATGGCTAAGTCGTCGCCCCATTTGGATCAGACAGGTCTGGACGGGACTGACCTAAACGTGACGTTCAGTTACGGCCGGTCTGTGGGCGTCAGTATCGACGGCTCCTGTCATGATGTGGTGATGCGGAAGCGCCGACACCTCCAGGGCCTACACCACACAAACAGCAATGATTTGTCACACTATATTAGCCGTAATTCACGTACCGGTGCCGCGAATGGACAGACACCGGCACAGACCTATCACAACCACAACACAAATGCCAATAATTATCGCAATAATAATCATCACATTTATTATAGACAGTCACAGCCGCCAGCTCTCAATGGCCATCACTACCAGCACAATGGGAACGGCTATCATCACCACAACCAATACAACCATCAGCACATCCCTATCCAGTACTCCAAGTCATACAGTTATTTGCCCACAAATGGCACGGAAGACCTTACAGATGAGCACCCGATGCTGAATACCGGCGCAGACTGTCAACGAGAGTACCGGTACCGGCGCCCACCCCTGGCCGCTGTGTTGGGCGGCGCCCCGGCGTCGACATCACATACCTATCACCGCCAGACGTCTGTTCCACACCTGAGACGGAGTTCCTCTGAGGAGAGTCTGGTGCGCACGTCGTATGACGCGGTGGACGGGGAGATGCCATCCAACGGCTACTCCCTGGCCAACAGCCTTTCCCTCCAGTATTCAACGCCCGTCCAAAACGATTGGCGCCAACAGCCGGACAAGTATTACAACAATCAATACGTCAGTAATAATCGAAACGCAACACAAGTGACACTCCGGGCGGACGTCCATCACTACCCTAACAGCACCGGTAGTGCTAATACCGGCGCCGCCCGTATCGCCCGTCAAGAGTCCAACACTTCGGGCAACGGCCAAAAACCTGTCGACAACCGCGTCGCCAGTATCTGCAGCTCCGGTAGCTCTGAGACAGCATCCCAGCGCTCGTCCCTATCATCCGGTAAACAGTCCACGTCTTCATCGCTGCGTAACGGCTCCGGTATGTCGTGTCCGCCCAGTTATCACGAGGCGATGACTCGCAAAGAGATGTTATGTCGGGCGCAGAGTAGCGGTGCGCTTAACACGACTGGGCTGTCGGTCCGGAAGGGCTCGTCCGCCTCCACCACCTCATCGACTCATTCGTCACACATATACGAGGAGTCGGTGCGGGTCTACAACTCGGACAACAAGAGGAACGTTACCCACAGGGCTGTACCCGTAAGAGTGGCACCGGTAGACAACGGCCGAGCCGTCGACAGCGACTTAATGCAGCGCCAAATGGCCGCACAGGCCTCACAAGCGCACCGACACGTGCACCGGGAGCTGAGTGAGCCGGCACTACAGCCCGCCCACAATACTGGCTCACGTATTGTCCGCATATCTGCTCAACAAAATCATAATAACGTCTATCACTCACCCCTCCAGGCCTGCCAGTCCTCTAACGTGTCAGTGCTTCAGAGAAGTGCCAAAGACTTCACTCCCGAGGAGTGGCGTAAAGACATTCACAGCAATGTGGCCACACTTCGCAAGCTGTTCACCACATCCCAGTCCACTAGTGGTCAGCCAATGGACGGCAACACTCGGAACATATATGTGCGCCAAACCGTCCGTCCCGTGTCGGTGCTCATCGAGACGACCCCTAAGCGAAACCAAGTGTTAAAACAACGGCCAAACAGTACGTACGCCAACCTGAAGGACAGTTGTGTATCGCAGGCGCCCAAAGGCGTGACTGTTGTACACGTCGGACAGACTACCGGTGCCGGTGAGGGGCATATCATCACAGGTGTGGGCCATAAGAGGGCTGACTCTGTGGGCAACAGTTCCTCGGAAGAGGAGTCTTATGTGTAAAATATAGCGAAAAATATAATAAATTTTATTAATTATTATGTATTTATAGTTTGAATGGATTTTTATGCGTCAAATGAATTTGAGTTTTAATAACAATTTTATAATTACTATATTTTATTCAATTTTCTCATCAATTAAACAAAATGTGTTCCCTTTGTATGCAATTAAAGGCAATCATTATTAAGATTTTTATCGCAAATTATTAATTGTATTTCAGTTATAGTAAGAATATATTTATTATTTGTATTATTCATGAATGGATTGAATGAGTTTTTTGTCAAAGTACCGAGTATATATTTGTTCATACAAACATTGCGTTCATTATTTTATATGATTGATTAAAATGGCATTTATTAAACAAATCATTCATTTTTATTATTATTTCATTGACTCTTGTGTTCAGAAAAAATCATTTTTTAAATTCTTGTGTTACTTATAATGAGTTTTTCACACAATATATGGTATTTTAAAATTGAAAAACTTTGTAAAAATGCTACAAATCTATGCTTTTTCTATAAATCAAAGTGTATTTCCGCTCAAAACCACATAAAACACAAAAATCCCACCGTTTTTGACAATTATAAAGTATATTCAGTTCAGATATTCATGTAATTAAATATATGACAACCGTTTGATAAATACGTAAATAATTAGAAATAAATAATTAGCATTAATAAGTACAAGTACAATTTAAATATAATATAGTTTTACCCCAACTTTTATGGTGTTTTCGATGGGGTCGACCTAATTATATGTATACATGTTATCGCAGAATATAATGAATTTATTTATATATTACTCGCAAAACACAAGAATTCATGGTTTGCCACAAAAATAAACATATTTTGTATGAAATAGTATTATAAAAATGAAAAACTATTGTATTTTCTATCAAATTATAAACTCATATATTATTTGTGTGAATGAATTGAGAAAAACATTAATTTTTAATTATATATAAATGTGTGAACAATATAACTGATAAATGAATTGAATTTTTATTATAATTATATAATAACGCGGTTTTCAAATGCAATGTTTGTTTTATTATCGATTTGTATTATAAGTATTATTTTATCATCAATTACTTCATTATGATATTTCAAATCAAATAAAATGCATTATTTCATTTTAAACATTTAAATTTGCGTTTAATTCAACATTAATTTCTATAACTATATTATCTTGATAAATTATAACATTAGTGTATGACATACACTGTATGTACGGCTGACCTACCGATCCCATAGCGTCAGTATTAATACGTGCGAAAGAACTCGATGTGGAAAACTAATGAAAACTTTTTTCATTCAAGTTTTGTGTACAAAATAAGTTACTGAAACAAATGTACTGGTACAGTTACAGTACAACTTTCTAGACGCCGACACTACAACCTACCGTTCATTCACTAGAAAAATAGCACAAAATCTTAGAAATCATTCACAAAAAAGTTTTTTAAAGTGACTTTCAAATAATATTTGCGTCAAAAGCAACCGTTTTTACGCCAAATCATGGGATCGGTTGTGACGAAAGTGTTTGAGCGCCGGGAGGTCGCCATAAGGCCGGGCGATATGATCAATATAAAGCTGCGGACGAGTGACCTGAAGGGATGGGAGGATCACTGGGCTCTGTGTGAGTCAGTCGACAGTTTAGGTCAGGTCTGGTGTTACCACACCGTCACCGACGACGACATACAGGTGCCCATACGTAAGGCTGTGGTCAGGTATCAGCGCCTGGAGACGATCCTGTTTAGCAAAGGACACTACAGGGCAGCCATTCCCGCCAAATATCGGGTGAAAAACCACAAGAAGTTTGTCCAAAAGCTGTTTTGGAGAGTCGGGCGACAGGTGCCCGACTTTGAACAACTGGCCGATGATTTACAGGCATTTCGGGATCAAGTGGTCGCCTATGATGTGAAGGTAAGGCATCCCTTTTCCCCACACTTTCCACCACTTATTAACGGGCGATCCCTTTAGACCCGTAATAGTGAGCACTACTGCACGCACTGGCGGTATGGCATCGGGTGGTCGACCGGTGTGGACACTGACCGCGAGATTATCCGCTCGACAGTCAACCAGATCTCGATTATCACCAGAAAGAGGATCTGTAAGGAGACAAGTTGGTGGCCTACAGTTCCCACCCAATGACCACTACTTTTCATAATTATTTGTTTGACTAAACTCTAACCGGTGATTGACTTAATTATTTGTATTGATGAGACAAATGTGTGATTTTTTTTGATAATTAAAACTAATTATGACTTAATGAAAATGTAATGATTTTATTGGTTTAATAAAAGTACAAAATTGTATTGAAAAACACATGCAAATAGTAGTTTATTTAAAAATTTAAAGTATTTGTCAACTTTTATAATGAGTTACACATTAAATGTTAAATAATGATTGAAAAAAGCATTTATAATTAAAAAGTTACAAATTATTAGTTGTAATAAAAACATGATTTCAAACAAAGTACGGATCAAATGATTAATATTTGCATTTATATAACAAATGCCGAGTGTTTGACCACTGAATGGAGGACCTGTCGACTGGACATGACTTGTGTGGACCACCCTATGCCGTACCGCCAGTGCGTGCAGTAGTGCTCACTATTGCATGTCTACGACAAACACATCAATTAATTATAAAATAGTAATTAAAACTTTTTAGGGGACAGGGATGTCACTGATTGGTACTCACCAGTGGATTGAAGTCCAGGTCTCGCACCCGATGTCTATTCACGTCATGAAATCCTAGGGTTTTAGGACTTTTCGCCACTTTTAGGACTTTTTGAGCCAACTTTTGCTGATTATTGACGCGATATTTGGGTGCAATACCGGTGCCCATACCGCTCAGCACCATCAGTATGTCCTCCAGGGGCTCGTATCGGACCGTTGCCCGTCCCTTACCCTCCCTGTCCACTCCAACGGGTATCACGTGGACACACCAGACAATACCGAGGCTGTTCACCGATTCACACAACGCCCAGTGACTGTATGCACCGTAGGTTCGGTGCACCTGTATCTCTATCATGTCGCCGGGCTGTATCTGTGAGTAGGTACAGCTCCGGGAGGTCTTACTGACCACTGAACCCATCGCTCAATTGGTGTCCAAAAGGAGAGACAATTTAAGAAAAAGTTTTTGAAAACTTTTGAACTGTTTGTGTGAAAAGTGTTTTTGAAATGATTTGTAAGTTTTTGAGTGTTTTTTATTTTCAATGAAATGGTTTAATGAGAAAATGTTGTCTCAATAGAGCACCGGAAGTGTCGGTGCTTTACCTTTGAGACACATATAAGCGGACACTTCAGTAGTTTTTCGTACATTTCTACACATTTTCTCGTGTTTTGAGAAATGAATGAATGAAAAAATCTTTTCAATTCTCGCATAAGTTATTGTAACGTACGATAAGTCTGACGAATAGGGGAAAGGGATATGAGGGGATGGGAGGCCGGCATAGTATTTATGAGTAAACACTGGTGCCATTCATACTATCGGGTTAATTATTCACAAGTTTTGTGTATCAATAAGACATTGAATTGATTGCAACATTGAAAACATTTTTGTTCACAAATTGAATGCAAAAATCTTTCAAAACATTGACTCGAAAACATCAAATCGTTAGCAAAGTTATCATAAAAAGTTTTTTCATTAACTTTTCCCTACCAATGATGGGATGCCTTATATCGACAAACATCGGGTGCTGCAGGACTGGGAGTATTAGTGGTGGTGTCGCACCGGGCGATCTCATTGAGATTTCTATACCGAACCGAAAGCCCTGTTCCCCTAACGGCAGTCACTGGGCATTAGTCGAGTCGATCGGAACTGGAGGTCACATCCGGTGCTATCACGTGGCCAGAGATGCGTTGGCCGGCGAGGGTCGGGGTGTTGTGAGGTATGAGCGGTTGGACAGCATTT